AATGAACCTAGTCATTCTTGAAAGGTGAGTCAAAAAGATTGAATATACCCTGGATATTGTCACTGACTTTCTTTTTAAAAGGCAAGATAGGCCGGGCACGGTGGCTCACACTTGTAGTCCCAACACTTTGGAAGGCCGAGGTGGGTGGATCACGAGGTCAAGAGATTGAGATCATCCTGGCCAACATGGTGAAACTCCGTGTCTACTAAAAATACAAAAATTAACTGGGCGTGGTGGTATGCGCCTATAGTCCCAGCTACCCCAGAGGCTGAGGCAGAAGAATTGCTTGAACCAGGGAGGCAGAGGTTGCAGTGAGCCGAGATGGCGCCACTGTACTCCTATTTGGGCAACAGAGAGATTCTGTCTCAAAAAAAAAAAAGAAAGTCAAGATAGACTATGCATATGCTATGCCTCTAATCGACTAGTTTAATAGTCTGATGAAAGAGGAAAATAGGCTTCTGCAGTCTGATTTATCCTTGGTGAACCTATGCAGGCTCCTAAGGATCACCATATCCCTTTCTTTTCCAAGAGTTAATGAACCATTTTAAAAAATTTTTTTCTCCCACAGGGATTTGTGGAGATCATTAAGCTTAATATCTTAGAAAGAAAATCTAGGCCACGTGTGGTGTGGTGGCTCGTGCCTGTAATGAGGCTAGAAGTCTGAGACCAGCCTGGCCAACATAGTGAAACCCCGTCTTTACTAAAAATACAAAAATTAGCTGGGTGTGCACCTGTAAAAAACATTTGTTAAATGATGAATGACCAAACAAATGAAGTGGGGTCTAGACTTTTTTTTTGTTGTTGTTGACAGAGTCTCACTCTGTTGCCCAGGCTGAAGTGCAGTGGCACGATGTTGGCTTGCTGCAACCTCTGCCTCTTGGGCTCAAGCGATTCTTCTACCTCAGCCTCCTGAGTAGCTGGGACTACAGGTGTGTGCCACCATGTCCTGCTAATTCTTTTTTGTATTCTTGGTAGAGATAGGGTTTCACCATGTTGCCCAGGCTGGTCACAAACTTCTGCCATGTTCTTAGTCATTCAAGGTAAATGACTTGTTCTTTGACACTTGTGAGGCAAACCTGAGTTTAGATGGCTAAATTTTTATTATATCCAATTAATTTGTGAACTTAGAATCAACACGTGATAAGATTTTTTAAAAAATCTCTTGGCATAGATTTTTTTTGGCCTTAACTTACCCCACTATGATTTACCTATCCCATCCTACCTCTTACTCTGTTCAGAGCAGTTCACGGACTGACTCACTTCTTCAATAAGAAGTCCTTTATTTGTACAAAAGAGAGTCATCTCATTGTCATGATACATAGTGATGTATAGTGTAGACTTATATATCCACTTGGCCTCTAATAGGTATCTCAAATTTAACAAGCCTAACTAAACTCTTTCCCCATATTCCTCTACACTGCTTCTCCTCCTTTTTTCCCCATCTCAGAAATGGCAATTCTACTTGTTTAGTTCCTTAAGTCCAAAACCCTGGGATCATCGATGCCTTTTCTCTGTCTGTCATACCCCTTATCTAATTAATCTGAAAATCCTTCAGCCATTCCTTCAAAGTCTCTCTAGAATCTGACCACTTCTCCCCACCCACACTGCTTCCATCCTGGTCTAAGCCACCATCATCTCTTGCCTGGATTATTGTAACACTCTCCTAAAGATTCTTCCTGCTTGTATCTTTTCTTCCTGCACCTATTTTCAATACAGCAGCCAGAGGAATGCTGTTAAAACATATATCAGATCCAATCATTCCTCTGCTCAAAATCCTCCAGTGGTCTCCCATCTCATGCAGAATAAAAGCCAGAGTCCTTACCTTGGCCAACAAGGCTCTAGATTGGATTTTGCTTTCTGACCTCATCTCCTTCCCTTTTCCTCTTCTCACTCTGCTCCCAGCCACACTGATATTTCTGGAACACACCAAACATTCTTCTGCTTCAGAGCCTTTGAATTTTTTGTTTCTTTTCTCCCTAGACATTCTCATAGCTCATACTTCACTTCATTAAGGTCTCTTCCCAAATGTTCCCTTATCAGAGATATCTTCCTTGATCACCTTACAGCATTCCCCATCACTCTGTCTCCCTGTTGCTCTGCTGTATTTTTCTTCAAACCACTTATCAAATTTAACCAACTTTATTTATTGTCTGTCTCTTTATGCTGGAAGTAAATCACTTTGAGGGAAGCAGGAAATATATTGAGGGTCTATTAGGTGCCAAGTTCATTTCTAGGTAGTGGGGATATAAAAGCAAAAAAAAAAAAAGCAAGTATCTTTATTGAATTTTTATTCAAGTATTATATAAACTGTTGTATTTAGTAAATATTTGATGAGTGTATTGAATAAATTTAGTATATGCTCAGCAGAGTAACAAGAATGGTTCAACAGAAAAGGAGATTTGGATTAACTTATCACTCTGTAACTCATTGGAGCACCAAAATGGTTCTATAGACCGCTGGGTGAAAGGTTGGAAATCTAATGAAATTTGAGAGGACCCCAGGCATTCTATACTTGTAACTCTAAGGGGCTCTTGGATTCCTCCAAGCTATACTGATTAAAGAAAAATGCATGGATTGCTGAGAAACTTGGCATTGGCACCAAAAGACTAGAGTCTAGTGACTGACTAGAGTATCAGATCAGGAAGGAAGTAGACAAGAAGTGCTAAAAATTAATAAGAGAGGATTTGACCTTGACCAGAGAGAAAACTGTTTTGTATCAGGACAGAATGAACGTTGTAAGGAAGATCAGTATCAGAGATGTTGGTAGCCAGATTTGGATAAAGTAGTTTTGGGGAAGGGAAGAAATAATCTTCTTTAAGAGAAAACTTGGGAGGTTAGATGAAGAGGCAAACCTTAGAAGTCATTAGACTTTCCACTTGGAGAGAGAAGGAAGACCATGTCCACTATTGAAGGTGATATTGCTCTTATCTCTTGTCTCCTCTCTTCCTTAGCAACCAGGGATTATAAAAAGTTTGATGGTAGTGGGAGTAGCCTCAGGGAAAAAGCCAAAGGTGGAGAGACATGCATCAGAGGGTGAGATGATTAGGAGAAGAAAGGGACCATGTTTCTCAGCTTCCTGCTTCCACATAGCCAGAAGACTTCTAGGAAACTGGCTACAAGTACTAGGTGAATAATACTTCATGGACTGCATTTCTTAGGCTTGAATTGGTCATCAATTGTAGAGAATGGCCCCACTGGTCCAGTTCTGCATCCAAAGGCTCAATGCTGCTGCCACCTCCACTGACTAGAAAACCCTATCTTATTGCTCTGCCTCTTTTTTTTTTTTTTTTAAATATTATTATGGGTTCCTTGTTCTGAGCACTTTCTCAGATTTCAACCAGTTCTACTTTTTCTTACCCCTACTGACAAAGTCCTGGCTCCATATCTTTAATAGCTCCCACCTTCTAAAACTGCTTCCATCATTGGCCCTTACTTACATCAACCAATGTGAGTTTAAAAATATCATTTTCATTTTTTTTTGAGATGGAGTTTTGCTCTTGCTGCCCAGGCTGGAGTGCAGTAGTGTCATCTTGGCTCACTGCAACCTCTGCCTCTGGGTTCAAGCAATTCTCCTGCCTCAGCCTCTCAAGTAGCTGGGATTACAAGCATGCACCACCATACCCGGCTAATTTTGTGTTTTTAGTAGAGACAGGGTTTCTCCATGTTGGTCAGGCTGGTCTCGAACTCCCGACCTCAGGTAATCCACCTGCCTCAGCCTCCCAAAGTGCTGGGAATACAGGCATGAGCCACCACGCCAGGCCTCATTTTCATCTTAATAAATTCATGTTGCTTTGTAATCCTCGAGACACATATTTTTGGGATATGTAGCCAGACACATGCTGTCTTTGAATCCAGATGCCTTTGTAGCTGCCCAGAGATATGTATTTTACAAACTCCTGTGCCCAAAGGGGTGGCATTATGTCAGTTGACAGAGTGATGCTGAAATATCAGAGCAATTCAAAGACCCTGCCCAGAAGTTAGCTTAGCATTTTGTCATGCCCCACAGAATGCATTGCTAGTTAACTCAAAGCTATTACACTCAGAACAGGGATAGTTTCCATTGATACATCATTGCCTAGCTGAAGGGGCAGTCAACATCATAAACTCACATAACAAATACCAATAATGTTCCAGAGACTAGGCTAGATTCTGGGGGTATACAAAGAGAAATGAATCTCTGCCCTCAAGAAACCTATAAACTAGTTCTAGAAGCTCTAGTTCAGATTTGGGCATGGTAGTGGATACAAACATTGATAAAGTTATCATTGGAATTAACACATCATGTTTAAGTGCTAGCAGGGTATAACACTGTCAATTCCAAGAATAGGACCAAATCCTCTTGGTGACCTTAATAGATGTGGGGCATCTCTGGGAGAGATGACGTCCTTACAGAGGGTGTTCTTGAGAGATACAAATGCTACCATGGCTCTCAGACATACTGAGAAAGGACTGAAGGTATCTGGAGTTGGAGGAGGGAGGTTCCTTGTATAGTTAGTTCTATGTTAAAGGATTGATTGGTAGGTTAGGCTGCAGAAATAGTCTATGAACTTGGGTCTGTGTACAATATATAAGATGATGAGGCACTACTGAGTTTTGCTCTTGCCGCCCAGGCTAGAGCAAATCATCATTTATTTTTTTTGAGATGGAGTCTCGCTCTGTCACCCAGGCTGGAGTGCCGTGGCACAATCTCAGCTCACTGCAACCTCCACCTCCTGGGTTCAAGTGATTCTCCTGCCTCAGATTCCCAAACAGCTGGGACTACAGGCGCTTGCCTCCCCGCCTGGCTAATTATTTTTTAATTTTAGTAGAGACAGGGTTTCACCATGTTCGCCAAGCTGGTTTTGAACTCCTGACCTCAAGTGATCTGCCTGCCTCAGCCTCCTAAAATACTAGGATTACAGGTATGAGCCACTGCGCCCTGCTGAGAAGGTAGTTCTTAAAAGAATACTTTTGCTAACATATATCTCAGAAGTGATAAAGGATCACCCAAGTAGACTTACCATCTGCTCCTTCATTGCTTTTGCTTCTTTTATTGCGGTGAACATGCCTACTTTCTTCTTCAGAGTATGGCTTTTCATCAGGGAAGAAGAAATTCAATAGGGCCATCTGTAAAAATAATAAGTAGATTAGTCAAAGTTGACCCCAGTCAGTCATAGCCAATATAAAAACTAGCTTTCCATAGACAGTCCACCTGTACCCTACCTTAAGTTTGATGTGTCTAAACCCTGAGCCCATCCTCCCCTCCACTGTACAAATCATTTTATTTTTGATACAATTATCTTTCCAATCATGCAGGCATGAAATTTTGGTTAATTTCTGAATCCCATTTCTTCTGCCCTGAATATCTAATAAGTAATCCATCAGGTCCCATTTCTTTATATATTTCTGGGGTTCACAGAGCCCAGCCACAAATTTCTAACTACTGCGAATACTGATGATGCCCACTCAGAATTTCAGTTGAACAGAAAACTGAACAGGAAACCTTGAGCCACATAGTGGCTCATGCCTGTAATCCCAGCACTTTGGGTGGCCAAGGTGGGTGGATCACCTGAGGTCTGGCGTTCGAAACCAGCCTGACTAACATGGTGAAACTCTATGTCTACTAAAAATACAAAATTAGCCAGGTGTGGTGGCGGGTGCCTGTAATCCCAGCTACTTGGGAGGCTGAGGCAGGAGAATCACCTGAATCCATGAGGTGGAGGTTGCAGTGAGCCAAGACTGCACTACTGTACTCCAGCCTGGGAAACAAGAGCAAAACTCTATCTCAAAAAAAAAAAAAAAAAAAAAAAAAAGAAAACCTTGAGTTACTACTCCCTATTGCACTTCATTATTATACATCCATGATTTTGCCAGATTCCTATTTATGATATAATTTTGGTTTGTTCCCAAAATGCTGTACATCCAATACTGAGGTACCATTTATGTCAATGCTCTTCTGGGAGTTAGTCATGACAAAGCACACAATTACTTTCTCCCCTTCCTAGATTTCTATAGCACTTGGGGTCTATAAGACTAATTTTGGTACTTGGTCCTCTACATCTTATAATGATCTCTCATAGTAATATAATACGTTTCATATGTGAATGGGTCTGGCTTTACTAATAATCATAGCTTAAATATATACTTGCTGAATAAAATTATAATCTTTTAGCATTAGGGCTTTATTGTGGTAACACCACATGCTTGAGGTAAACAGTAAACACAATAGTAGGATTCAGTGACTCTAATGCCAAGTTTGCCACTTACTAGCTGTGTAACCTTAAACAATTTACCTAAGCTTTAGTTTACTGATCTGTAAATAGGGATAATAATAGTATTCTGCTCACAAAACAGTTGTAGAGTTAGAATAGTACTTAGCATGTAGTATGCACTTAATAAATGTTTGCTATTACTATTATTGACTTAATCTTCAAAATAGAATGGTTAGATAGTTTGGGATCTAAAAATAATAAAAAGTCTGCATTTTCATTCTATTACCAGTTCAAAAAATAAACAATTCCAGAGTCCTCTTGTCTGCTCCATCTCTGATTAAGTGGAAAAAAATGGGATGGACCCAAGAAAGCCCTAACATTCTATACAAACTTTCTTCAAAATTCTGTGATTTACTCAATATCCTTAAGGTGTAGGATTAGTGTCTTGAAGGATACATTAATGTATTAAATATAAAATTAGTAAATCAATGTGCAGATTAATTTCTATCTTGTCAACAGGATTTCATTTCAAGATAAACTGCTGTTTTTGTCAAAAATGGTTGAATATCAATCAACAATTTCACATCATTCAACTGAATAGTATTTTTTAGTTACTTGATTGGAATGTAAAAACGCATTTTCTCATACAATCAACATAATAAAGTCTGGCTAATTTTTCTCAGAAGCCCACAGAAAGTTATTTAACTCACAACATAAATAAGCTAATGTACTAATAATAGTATAAAACTAAACTGCTGTTTATAATAGAATCTCAATCATTTGCAACTCTACAAGTCATTTCGGATAGAAGAGTTTTCTTGATAACTTTGAGTGCTGAAACTTACTTCAGCTATGCAGCCATAGAAAAGAATGAGATCATGTCCTTTGTGGGTACATGGATGGAGCTGGAGGTCATTATCCTTAGCAAATGAATGCAGGAACAGAAAACCAAAATATGGCATGTTTTCACTTATAAGTGGGAGCTAAGTGATGGGAACACATGGATACATGGTACGGGCAACACATACTGGGGCCTACTGGAGGGTAGAAGTTGGGAGGAGGGAGAGGATCAGGAAAAATAACAAATGGATACTAGGCTTAATACCTGGCTGATGAAATAATCTGTATAACAAATGCCCAGTATACACATTTACCTATGTAAGAAACTTGCACATCCTGCACATGTACCCCTGAACTTAAAAGCTGAAAAACAAAAAAACCCCAGTAATAACAATATTTACTTCAGTGTTTGTGAATATTAAAGTATATGATAGGGCCTAATATAATGCAATAAAAAAGAAATTAGTTTATGATATATGATTTAATTCAGGGCTTACTGAATATGTGAGGACTACTATTTGCCTGTAAATTAAACTGAAAGTGGACAAGTCTTCTTGGAGAAGGTGCTACCTCTGTGAATCCTAAAGGATGTCAAGGATTTAGTGATAAATGGAAAATGAAAAAGGAATTCCAGGAAAAGGAAGCACTGTGTTAAAAGGTTCAGAGGAAAAAGAAAGAATAACAATTTTTGGAACTACAAGTAGCTTAGAATAAGTGGTAGGAGGTGAGAAGGAATGGTGAGAAATAAGCCAAGTAGTATTAAATAAGAGCCAGATCATGTTAAGGAATTTAGTCTTAGATCTTGCAGCAGGGGGATCTTCTGAATGAGTTTTCCCTTTTGAAATTTTTGTACCTTATAAAAATTTGAGATATAATTTACATACAATAAAATGCACAATTTGTAAGCAAACTGGTCTAAGAGATTTGACAAATGCACACACTTTTGTAACCACCACCCAAATCAAGATAAATCAAGATTTCTATCACCTCCTAAATTTTCCCTTGGGCCCCTTCCAGTCATTCTGCAGTGCCCCCGACCCTGAGACAACTACTATTCTGATTTCTATCACAGTAGCTTAGTTTTTACTGTTCTAGACTAGAATCATCCATTATAATTTTTCATATGTATGAATGAATAGGAATTTTCATTCAACATAATGTCAGTGAGATTCATCCATGCTGTTGGATGTATCACCAGTTCATTCCTTTTTAGTGCTGAGTGGTAGTATTTCAGTGTATGGCTCTATCACATTTTTCTATGAATTCTGCCATTGATGGACATTTGTGTTGTTTCTAGTTTGGGGCCATTATAAATAAAGCTAATATGAACATTAATGTACAAGTCTTTGTGTAGACCTATGCTTTCATGTTTCTTGGTTAAACACCTAGGAGTAGAACCTCTGGGTTATATGATATTTGTTGTAAGAAAATGCCAAACTATTTTCCAGAGTGACTAACATTTTAATTGCTTACCAACAATGTATGAGTCCCACTGCTCTGCATCTGCACCAACACTTGGTAGTGTCAGTATTTTTAATCAATCCACCATTCTGGTAGATATGAAGTACAGTTTCATTGTGATTGGTTTTTGAGTGCTTAAACTTCTTTTTAATGTTATTTCATCTTTTACCTTACTGTCAACTATCAGATTTCACTTGACCTACCTGTAGCATCTTTCCCAGTCCCTTCAGATTTGCTGCTTATAATCTGCTATAGGCTTGACATTTAGTTAAAACTAATTAAACTCATGTACAGATAGAATAAAAGGGCAATGATTGTGGTTTTGAATGGCTTTTCCAATAAGTCAGACACATATTCTCTAGTGGCTTAGAAGCCATTTGTTTACCACTTGATTTCTGGCTGTGGTCTAGATAGGTGAATTTGTCATATACCCAAGTTCTACATGGGTAGGTTATTAAGCATAATTCTATTTCTAGGAAAAGAGATTTTTGAAATGCAAATGAAGAACCTCCCTGCTATTACCAATTACAATTCCAGAGATTCCCTCATACTTGTTCCCTCATACTTGTTGTTCCCTCATGGGCTCAGCTCCTGTGGGAGTTCTGCCAGGGGCTCTAGCACCTTCCAGTGTCCTAGTGGTGGCAGTAGGAAAAGGGCTCATGTATTAACTATTCTAAGGGTCTAATAGGAGCTTGTGAGAACTCAAGCCCCCAGAAGAGGAGGGTTGAGGGAGAAACAAACTTCTGCAGACAGCAGAAACAGCTCCACCATCCATGAGTAGTAAGAGTAGTTCAAAGTCCCTCAAGAGAGGTTGTTGATGAATGTGGGACATTCATAAGTTAAGTGTTCATTAGAAGAGAACTGCCTGCCTGTATATGAAAATGCCTTGAACATAGTTATATGGTTTGGCTCTGTCCCCACTCAAATTTCATCTTGAATTCTCATGTGTTGTGGGAGGGACCCTATGGAAGGCAACTGAATCATAGGGACAATTCTTTCCCTACAGTTCTCATGATAGTGAATAAGTCTTATGAAATCTGACGGTTTTATAAACAGGAATTCACCTGCACAAGCTCTCTCTCTTTGCCTGCTGCCATCCATGCAAAACGTGACTTGCTCCTCCTTGCCTTCTGCCATGATTGTGAGGCTTCCCCAGTCATGTGGAACTGTAAGTCCAGTTAAACCTCTTTCTTTTGTAAATTGCCCAGTCTCAGTTATGTCTTTACCAGCAGCATGAAAATGGACTAATACACATAGTTTCTATTTGTTCAACAAAAATCAGAAGAAAATAACACAAAAACACTGTTTAAAATGAGAGATTCCCTATCCCTTTTTTGTATCTCAGAGGTAGAAGGGAAAACTATACTCTGTATAATGGTAAAGACAAAAATCAGTGTCTGCTCATACAAAATGTCTGGAATTCTAGCTTGAGTTTTGCATTCATTAGCATAGTCTCCAGAGGCAAGTTGCAGGATATGAACAAAACAGCCTTCTCTTTTAGAATATTGTTTTCCTACTACACAAGGGAGGAGGCATCAGGAATGTTGGCCACAGTCAGGCATTTTGCTCAAGGAGAAAAAAATTGAATTCTCTACACTTTATTAAGTGATTATA